AGAGAGAGAGAGAGAGAGAGAGAGAGAGAGAGAGAGAGAGAATATGAGGTATGAGGCTGGGGACAAGATATACCCCTCAAGGACAAGCCTCCAGTGACCTGTTTCCTCCAATTAGGCCCCACCTCCTGAAGTTTCCATCATCTCCCATTAGTGCCACAGGCTGGTGGCCACGTCAAGCCTTCCATACGTGGCCTTTGAAGGACATTTTAGATCCAAACCATGACAATGACTGACATAAGAATGTTCAGATTTCTCCCTTTGCCCAATCCTGTTTTCTCCCTTTCTCTCCATGGGTATCAATCTCAAGAGTACGTCCTCTGGGCTGATCTATGTTCAGGACTCTGCTTCCCAAGGAACTCAGCTCATGGCACTCTGTTTGCTTGAGAGGGAAACAACCCCCATTTCATCTCTGACTTTTCTGGCCTTTTGCTTAAATTGAGGTATGTGTTCCCTCTCCTAGAGATGGGGGGTATGTGTGTAACTTCAGGCGTGCGTGTTACTTTACCCCTGGCCTAAAAGTCCTGTTTGCCAACCAATTCCTTTTAGAATCCATCGTGGAAGCTGATTGAAAAGTAAGAATAAACCCAACCCACAGTTTCCAAAACAAAATAGAAGCTATAGCATTTCAAATGTGCCTACAACTTCTGAGCAAGAGAAAGGAATAGAAGGTGTCCAAATCCCACCCCCGCTGGTTTGGCAGCTGTTTGTGCCCACAGATGCTTGGCTGCATTTCAGGCACCCCTCTGTGACAGACCCCATTGCCACGTGAACAAAAATGGCTGTTTGGGCAATTAAAAATTCTTCCCTTTAATCAGAGGGTAGGTGCAAAGTGAGTGATATCTGGACAGTACTTGGTAACGGCTTTGATGGGGAAAAAGATGCTTTCGATGAGCCTCTGTCTCTGGGTGAGATTTCAGTTTCTATCTTATTCTGTAATATAAAATCACGGTAGTCTTGTTTAGGGGGAGACACATTTCTGACTTTGGGAGACCCTGAAAGAGCACCTGTTCTATGAAGTTTTGCTCCTGTCGTCAAGTCCTCTATTTCATTTTTATATAGAACAGTTTTGAAGGATAGTAATAGCCTCTGTCATATATTTTAATTTAATGGCAGGACTTTAGTATTCCATTTAATGTGATGTTTGCTCTTAGTTTCTGAAAACAAAACACTCACACACACACACACACACACACACACACACACACACACACACTCTCTCTCTCTCTCTCTCTCTCTCTCCTCTTTATCATAGTTAGGAAATGTCCTTTGTCTCTTTTTTTACTTAGTGCTTTCACCAGAAATGGTTCTTGTGTTTTCTCTGCTTCTACGTAATCTAATAATGTAGTTTTCCATTTTATTTTATCAATGTGATTAATTAGAGTGATGGATTTCCTAATATTGAACTATCCTTAAAGGCATCAAATAAATTCTATATTTAGAGGTTTACTCTTAGATTCTTAATAGTTTTTGTTGCTATTGTGAATAGAATCTTATTTCCCATTTCATTTTCTAGTTGGTTATTGCCGGTATACAGGAAGACTATTGATTTTTGTACGCTGCTCTTGTATGTGGCCACCTTGCTTATTAGTGCTAATAGTTTGTCAATTGATTTTCTTAGGCTTTTCTAAGTAAGCGATAGTGTCATCTGCAAATAATCACAATTTGCTTCTTCTTATCTAATGTTTATACCTCTTACTGCTTTCCTTCTTGAATGAAAACATCTGGCATCATTTTGAACAGTAGTAGTGATAAAGGTCACTCTTGTTTCTAACTCCAGCTGGAATGCTTCCATGTTTCATCATTAAGTATGACATTTGCCGTAGGTTTTTCCTCATTGTTTTATTTAAACAACATATATCAAATTACAGATTTTTTTTCATAGTTTGCTGGAAGTTTTTCTTCCTTTTATATTATTAATGGGGGTTTAAATTATTAAGATAATTGTATTTTTGCTGGGTGTGGTAGCACATGCCTATAGTCTCTGTGGCTTAGGAGGCTGAGGCAGGAGGATCAAAAGTTCAAGGCCAGCTTCAGCAATTTAGCAAGGCCCTAATAAGCAACTTAGCTAGACCCTGTTTCAAACTAAAAAAATAAAATAGGGCTGGGGACATGACTCACATGTAACTAACCAAAAGAAACAAAACAAAACAAAAAAGATAATCATATTTTCATGTTGATTTCATTAGTATAATAAATTAAATAGATATATATCTTAATGCTGAACCATCCTCACAATGTTAGGATAAAATCTTCTTTAGATTTGATGAATTATTCTTTTAACACACTGCTGGATTTAATGTTAACTTTTTTTCTTTTTTTCCCAGCACTAGGAATTGAATCCAGAGCCTTGAACATGTTAGGTAAGCACTCTATCACTGAGCTACATCCTAACCTTTTGTAAAATTTTATTTTGAGACAGTCTCACTAAGTTGTCCAGGCTGATCGGCAATTCTCCTGCCTCAGATTCCTGACTAGCTAGGAGTTTGAGTGTGCCCCATCATACCTGTCTTTTGTTGACATTTATTGAGGATTTTTGCTTCATTGTTCATAAATAGGATCATATATTTTTCCCATATTGCTGTTATTGTCTGGCTTTGGTTTCAGGAGGCTTGTCAGTTAATACATGTTGGATGCCTTTCCATCTTCTGACTTTCTTAAATAGTTTTTATAAGATGAGAACTCTGCATTCTTCAGAGGCTTTCTATTCTTTATTAGGCTTTGGTATTGACATTGTGCAAAATTTTTCAAAAGTTGAATTGAGGGAATTTTCAACTTCTTACATGCTTTAAAGTTCACTTGAATAAATGAGGAATAATGTATTGCTTGAAGGTCAAATAGAACTAACCTATTTATAATTTTCAGCCTATTACCTTTCAAAATTGTAGCTCATTAATATCACTTCATTTTTTTTGAGCTTAGATCTTGCTATGTTTGGTCTTGAAATCATTTTTTTTTTTTGAGCTGAGATCTTGCTATGTTTGGTCTTGAAAACTTCTGGGCTTGAAGCTAGAGAGAAAAGAGGAAAAGAAATTGGGGAAGATCTCATGAAAATCAAAGGAAGATTTGTAGAAGGAAGGGATCAACAGGTGGGAGGCAGGGAAGTCTTGGGAGTGATGTTGGCCAAATTATATTGTTATATTGTGTCCCTGAATGAATGCATAACAACAAATTCCATCATTGTGTACAACTATAATGGACCAATAAAAACATGTGGGGGGAAAAAAAGAAAACTGGGCTCAAATTATTCTCTTGCCTCAGCCTCCCTAGTGCTGGGATTATAGGCATATGCCACCATGACTGGCTATTAATAATATTTTTTTGTTTTTCTATAGTTATTGCTCTAGTTTGGTTCTCCAATTTTTCTTGGAACAGTTTTGACTGCTTTTTGTTTTCTAGAAAACCAAGAACTACCAATTGTAACTGAAATACAAACTGGTATTAAAACAGGCATGAGTTGGGTATTTATGTTTGGGCAGTGGAAATTCAGCTACAATTCAGTTACAATTGACCTGTAACTAATAGATTATCACCTGCAATTGATTATCACCTGAATGAAAGATACATTAAGGGCAAAGCTTTGGGGGAACCATGGGGGGCAGAAGTAATTTGCAGACTGGGCAGCAGGGGTTCTTTTAACCATCCTGGACAAAGTGAAGAAAAGAGTGACAAGATCAGTACCCTGAAACTTCAGCTCAAGATGAATCTCAGACACTGACTTTATATATCTATGACAAAAATAATTTATATTGTGCAGTCATGGGGCTGGTTATAGCTAGAAATCAAGTTCAACGTTTGATACTGAGAATTGCTATAGTAAAATATCTGCTGAATTCACATTTCAGGTCTTTTATGTGAATGTTGGAGCACTGACCAGAAAAGGAAGCATTTTAGATAGCTCAGACCCTACCTCCCTTGGCCCCCTCTTGCCAGAAGAAATGTCTCCTCTTCCCCTGCTGAGGCTGGTGGGTAACTTCTTACAATTGTAGTTAACAGGAGGAAGTACTGGTGGGAGGGAGCTGGGAAAGCTTTCTGTTGACATTTTCTGGTAAATCAAGAATGCATCAGGATTGGGGCTGGGGATGTGGCTCAAGCGATAGTGTGCTCGCCTGGCATGCACACGGCGCTGGGTTCGATCCTCAGCACCACATACAAATAAAGATGTTGTATCCGCCGAAAACTAAAAAATAAATATTAAAAAATTCTCTCTCTCTCAAAAAAAAAAATGCACCAGGATCAAAGCATCTCAGATTCAATGAAGTGAGTAAATCCCATGAAAATACATCTCAGTGATATTTCTGGAGTCCAGTGTTCTAGGCCATTTCACCACGTCCCCTTCTAAGCACAAGTTAATTCATTTTACATTCTGAAAGGTATATGAAAGAAGAATAATACAAATATCATTGATTCTAAAGGACATAAGTTATTTATTGAGATGAAATATATACAATGTAAAATTAACCATTTTAAAGTGAAAAATTCAGTGGCATTTAGTGCATTTATAAGGTTGTCATCATCCCCCCCGTTTTAATATGCCAGTGTATCCCACGATCAATGGCATATCATGGTTTTATTGACAGCATTTAAAAAAATTATTCACAGTGGAATATCAGTAGTGTACTTTACAACTGAAGACATCTTAGATTAGTTGAAATATAGTATTTGGCTGCCTTCTTGGAATTCTGAGGCAACATACCCCATGTTTGGGTGTCTTATATCTGCCCATTTACCTGAAAGATAATTTCAGTTACCTGAAAGGCTGCAGTTTTGAGAGGAAATCCAAGAAAAAAGTCCTCAAGTGCTCTAGGCCGCTATGTAACAGATATGCCAGCTGATTTCCATGACCCACACTCCAATCATGTTTAGGTCACTATTCTGATGGAACATATAGCAAGCCCAAGGGAGCTGGGTGTGATGGCACATACTTGTAATTCCAGAGACTTGGGAGCCTGAGACAGGAGGATCACAAGTTCCAGGCCAGTCTCAGCCATTTAGCGAGGTCTTCAGTAACTTAGGGAGATCCTGTCTCAAAATAAATAAATAAATGAATGAATGAATGAATAATTAAATAAATAAATAAATAAAAAGGACTGGGGTTGTAGCTCAGTGGTAAAGCGTCCCTGGGTTCAATTCCTAATGTGTGTGGGGGAAGTATAGGAAGACTGCAGAAGAAGTCACTAGAATATGTGAAGAAAGCCATGTCATCTTTAGCAAATTGCTGAACTCCTTTTGAGAAACAACTTCATCTTGCTCCTTGCCCTCACATAGACAAATGTCCAGGGGACTACCACATGATCTTGAAACTTAACCTGTCTGTCATAACCTGAAAACTATTTGATCTGGCACAAAGTCTCTAGTGTCTTATAGCAATTTGTCATCAAGTAGAAAGGGTACAAATGAGACCAGGACCACGATGTTCTCCTTTTCTGCTTATCCCTCAACCAACCCCTATGGGCTTAAGTGACAGAGATGGTTCAAATGAACAAAAAGAGCCAAACTCAAATAACTACTTTGAGTATAAACATACAAGTAAGTTGGGGAAAAATGGAGGAAAAAAGGTCTACTGTGCAAACAGTAAGCTTACAAAGTCTGGAGTGGTTATAATATCAGATAAAGTACATGTCAATATAAAGATTATTATCAGAGATAAATATGGATATTTTGTAATAATACAAAGGTCCATTCACCTGGAAAACATAAAAATTATAAATGTATATTTTCCTAGTAATAGAGCTTCAAAAAATGTCGAGCAAAAATGGATAAAATTTTAAAAAGAGGTAGACAATTCTACAATTATAGTTGGAGATTTTAACACCCTTCTTAGCAATCAATGGAATAGTAGGAAAAAAAATAATCAAGACATAAATGATATGAACTACTGTCAATCATATTGACCTAATTGACATTTATAGAACCTCATGCCAAACAATTGCAGGATCCGCTTTTTTCCCCCCAAGTACATGTGCTATGTTCACTAATGGACCATATGCTAGGCCATAAAACAAGTTTCAATAAAGTTAAAAGGATTTAAATCATATGGAATAAATTCTCTGACTATAGTGGAATTAAATTAAATACCAATAATCATAAGATATCTAGAAAACTCAAATATTTGGAAATTAAGCAACATACTTCCAAATAATCATTGGCCAAAGCAATCATAAGGGAAATTAGAATGATAACAAAATGTAAAATTTGCAAGGTGCAGCTAAAGCAGTGAAATTTACAGCTTTAAATATTTATAAAGAATAAAGAATAAACTCCTTAAATTTTATAATGGAATGCTGACTTGCATCTCCAACTTTACAGTTCAATGGATTGGATAATTTTCAGTTCATGCTGGGCAGTTCCCATTAGGGTTTCATCGTCAGGCGATCAGCTTCTACCAGAGCCCAGTTGTCAGCCAGAAGCTGGTTTTCCAAAGGTGGCAATTGTTTGCAGGTGAGATTAAGGACTTCTTCCAGAACCCTGGGTGTCTGTGCTATGATTCTCTTATTGGGTCAGAAGAAGGCAAATATTATATCTTTGCGACAAAATACTTTCAGCATCATTGGATGTGTTCCATAACCAGGCCCAACTAGGAGCACAGCTTACATTCTAACCCAGACCTCCCATAGAGCTCCTTTGGAGCCAAGTCCCTTTCAAAACTTACCAGTCACTGGATAAAAATGCAGAGCATGAACAAAGGTACCGTACAGCCTCCAAGCCCAAAGATACCCACCAACCTTTGCAACTCTTTCTTCATGGTGGGTGGTACAAGGTGTAGCACCCTCTCTCTTACTTTAGTACATATTTATTAAGTTAGTTCAGAAAGCAAAAGCATTCCCTTTAACAAAGAAGTTTATAAGGGAAATCAGACTAGAAGGACTGGCTCATCAAGTGAAAATACAAGATGAACAAGACAGACAAAGTTACCCATTTGTTTGTGGTGGAGAAACAGCAATTTTCTCGAATACTTATCCTATCTAAAGATCATATGTTGGGCTGGGGATGTGGCTCAAGCAGTAACGCGCTCGCCTGGCATGCGTGTGGCCCGGGTTCAATCCTCAGTACCACATACCAACAAAGATGTTGTGTCCGCCAAAAACTAAAATAAATAAATAAATATTAAAAAAAAAAAAAAGATCATATGTTGTCAGAAGTCAGCACTGCAAAAGTCAGGAATAAAGTTGTCTTTGTTAGGGAGTCAGTAATCAAATTGGAAAGGCTTAAGTTTTCATTATCTGGGATTTAGGACGAGTCAGTATGACACTTGTTTTGGGTTCAAGGGCTGGGGAGTACAGGGATTGAACTCAGAGACACTCTACCACTGAACCACATCCCAGCCCTTTTTGTTTTGTTTTTGTTTTTGTTGTATGTAGATAGACATAATACCTTTATTTTATTTATTTATTTATTTATTTATATGTGTGCTGAGGATCAAACCCAGTGCCTCACATGAGCTACAGTCCCAAGCCCCCTTTTTGTTTTTTGAGACAGGGTTTCTCTAAGTTGCTGAGGCTGGCCTTGAATTGTGATCCTCTACCCTCAGCCTCCGAAGGACCTGAGATTACAGGCCTGTACCACCTTACCAGGCAAGAGACTTTTGAATATTTTCAGCTTGGAACAACTATGAATAATACCATTCTGATATTTTGTTTATGTCTTTAGTGAACATGAGCATTTCTCTTGAGAACTTACCCAGGAGCAGAACTGCTGTGACAGCAGGTTTATGTATATTTAACTTTAGTAAATAATGTCAAATGATGTTCCTATGTGGTCATAATAATTTAATTTCCATCACTAATATAGAGGAGTTATGCTGCACCATATCTTCACCAAAATTTGGTATTGTCAGTTTTTTTTTTTTTTACTTTAGCCATACTTGCGGGGAAAATGCAAACTACCAATATTGAAATGAAGAGGAACCAGGACAATAAATATTAAAGAAATTGAAGTGACAAAGACTCTCTTCATCTAAAAAACCAAAACAAAAAAAAAGGGTCTGAGGTCATTTCTAAGTACTACAATACAATACTATGAGTTTATGTGTGTGTGTGTGTGTGTATATATATTATTACACATAGTTCAGAAAAAGCATAAAGATTCCCAACTCATTGTAGGAGAATAGCATAATTTTTTTTTGGTGGGGGGGGGTTACTGGGGATTGAACCCAGGGGTACTTTACCATTCAGCTACATCCCTAGTTATTTTTATTTTTTATTTTGAGACAAGGTCTTTCTAATTTGTTTAGGCTAACCTTAAAGTGTGATCCTCCTGTCTCAGCCTCCTAAGTCATGGAATTATAGTTGGGGAGAATGCAAACTACCAATATTGAAATGAAGAGGAACTAGGACAATAAATATTAAAGAAATTGAAGTGACAAAGACTCTCTTCATCTAAAAAACCAAAACAAAAAAAGTTTTGGTTTTTTAGATGAAGAGAGTGTACCACTGTGCTTGGTTAAATAGCATAATCTTGAATCTAAAATTAGATAAAGATAGTTATAAGTAAATAAAAGTAAAAGTCCATTTCACTTATGAATAGCTTATTTAAAAATTCTAAATAAAATATTAGCTACCTGAAGCCAAGATGCATTGTGATCAGATGGATTTCATTCTGTGAATGTAACAACAGAAAATCTGTCAACTCACTTCATTAATAGACTAAAGGAGATAATTCATATGAATATATCAATTAATAAAAAATTTTGCTAGCTTATCACCTATTTATGACTAGAGGATAGACAATTATTAGAAAACTGAGAGTTGATTGTGGTAGCATACACCTGTAATCCCAGAAGCTTTGGAGGCCCAGGCAGGAGGATCACAAGTTTGAGGCCAGCTTTGGCAATGTAGTGAGACTCTATCTTGAAATAAAGAAATAAAAAGGGCTGGGTGTGGTGGTACACGCCTATAATCCTAGCAGCTCAGGAGGCTGAGGCAGGAGGATCTGAGTTCAAAGCCAGCCTCAGCAATGGTGAGGAGCTAAGCAACTCAGTGAGACCCTTTCTCTAAATAAAATACAAAATAGGGCTTGGGGAATGTGGTTCAGTGGCCAAGTGTCCCTGAGTTCAATCGCTGGCACCAATAAATAAATCAATAAATAAAATAAAAGGACTGGCAATGTGACTCAGTGGTAAGAGTGCCCCTGGGTTCAATTTCCAGTCAAAAAGAAAAGATGCAGGAAAAAAAAAAGCAAAAAGAAAGATAAACTTTAAGTACACTCCCTTTAAAATCAGGAATAAGACAAGGATGCCCACTACCACAGCTGCTGTTTGACCTATTTCTGTGACCCTGGCCAATGCTAAAAGAAGAAGAAATAAGTGTTTAGGCTTACTTTATTATTTGCAGATGACATGATGGAATCCACCTTGCTTTAGTCGTTTCCTAAATGTCTCCCAGAGAGTCCTGGTCTCCTCACTGCGGCCCAGTCCATGCTCCACAGCCCTGCAGGGTCTGTCTTCCTTCTCCCTTTTCCTTCCTTCTTTCCTTTTATTATAAAATAAATACATATTCATTATAAGACTATAGAAAATACCTATAGGCAAAAGGGAGAATATATAAATTGCCTAAATAGAAACTACCAGTGGTATAATTTTGGCTTCTCTTTTCCGATTTTTTTTCTCTACATAGACACACTTATAAAAGGGAGAGAACATAAACTCTCTGAAGGCAGCAATGAAGTTTGCCTTCTTTACTGCTACATATCCAAGGCCTAGTATAGTGCCTGGTATATGAGAGTATATATGTAAATGGCATACAATAAGTATCAAACAAATATTTGTTGAATGAATTAATGAACAAAAATGAAAATACATTTCTACCAACAGCATATGCTAATGTCTATTTCATCTATATCTTGGACAAGAATGGGTATTGCAGTTATTTAAAAGTTTTACCTATCTGATAGACAACAAAATAGTACCCCTTTGTGGTTTTAAAATCTTAATTTCTTTGATTACTAGTGAAGCTGAACACTTACCCATATGTTCATTAGCTATTGTACTATTTCTACAACTTCCTCTAATGCTCTTGGCACATTTAAAAAAATTGGAACATTTGTCCTTATCTTATTAGTGTGGAAATGTGCTCTATTACTAACCTGATAAAGTTCAAATCAAATCTCCATTACTCCATGTATGACTGCCTCCCTTTCCCCATAGTGTCTTTCTGAGGAGCTTCTCCGAATAGGGCACACTTTCACTTAAAAAAAAAAAAACAGAATTCTTTTTAAACTTTATTTTATTTACTTATTTTTTTATGTGGTGCTGAGGATGGAATCCAGTGCCTCACGTGTGCTAGGCAAGTGCTCTGCCACTGAGCCACAACCCCAGCCCACACACTTTCCATTTTTCAAATGAAGAAACAAGCTCTGAGAAATAGTTCAGGTTTAGAAGATGAGACCCAGTGTCATCCTTACGGAGCTTGTAGTCTTGGTGAAGAGAAGGGAGGCTGCCATATGGTCCTTACAGTAAAACTTAACTCCCTGCCATGGCCCACAATGCCTACCTCTGATCTCAGCTCTTCCTGTGCTCCTCCTCCTCTCGAAAGACGCACCATATTGGGTGTTAGTCAGGTTTCCATTGATGTGACAAAATCCTGAGATAAACAACTTAAAGGAGGAAAAGTTCATTTTGGATCACAGTTTCAGCCCCTGGTTGATTTGCCTTATCGATTTTGAGCCTGTGGTAGAACATCGTGGTAGGAATGGGTGATGGAGGAGGCCTTTTATCTCATGACAACAGAAAGCAGAGAGGAGGAGCAGGGAGAGACAGGGTGCGGAAGGGGGCTAGGATCCAAATATTCCCTTCAAGGGCATGTTCCCAATGACTTAATTTCCTTCCAGTAGGTCCCACCTCCTGAAGTTTCTATCACCTTCCAATAAGGCTAGGGACAAAGACTTTACCATATGGGCCTTTGTGGGAACATTTAAGATCCAAACCATAACACCTTCTTTATCTATTTCCCTAAAAAAATAGGGCACCTTCTGTTTTAGGAAATTTGCACTTGCTTTTCTTCCTGCCTGAAACATTCCTTCTCCAGATATCATGGCTATTTCTATTGTTTCAATCCTAGTTCAGATTTTTGACTCCCTGGAGAAACATTCCTTGACCACACTATTCCATGCTATTACTCTTTTATTTCCTTCACAGCTCTTGTCACGATCAAAAGTTACATAATGGATTTTATTGTTTATATGCCCAGTGTTTCTCTTTGCCTACAAAATAAAACCTCCACAGGAAATATTTCTATCTCATTCACCTATTGCATCCCCAAGTCCAAGAAATGTGCCTGGCACACATACTAATTTACATATTAGCATCACTGTCTTACATAATTAATTAAACAAATACTGACACAACTAATTAACTATAAGTAAGGTCAAGTGCTTAAGGCAGAGGCACAGGTCTCATTCCCAGTGCTTTACTTCTGGCTCCAAGGACCATTCTTTTACCCTGAGGGCAATTTTTGCTGCAAGACCTAGGTTCCTCCCAGGAACTGGAATTCAGTAGATCCAGCCAGGAATCAGTCAGGAACAGGACAAGGTTTGTACTTCCAGGCATAGTTCTCCAGAGTTTTGGGCTTGGGCTGCAGTGGTTGCATCCCCTTCTCCTGTTCAGACAATAGGATGCAACATTTATATCCAACTTGTATAGATTCTCTAGTACTTGTGGGGATCTTTGGCAGGTCTTAGCTTATGGTCTGTCCTTAATCATCCTCAATGCCTTAACAAGCCCCAATTTATGCCCCACACTAATTGCCCATGTATCCTCCATGTTGGCAGGTGATTTGCAAAGGCTGAAGCTGGGAGCTGCTTCCTCTGTCACTTCTGCTCTTCCTCAGGACCTCCTGTTTCTTTCTCCAGGGATGTCAGCAGATTTCTTCCAGTAGCTCCCTACTTGAAGCTGCGTTTTGAGCCTCTTTGAAACTCAAAATAGTGCAGCTAGCTCCCGGACTGGGGAAGTTCCAGGAATCTGGGTTCAAGAAAAGCCCCAGAGGCTCCAAATCAAAGCCAATTCCATCATAGGAGGTGCAAGAAAAGGTCCAGACTCCATCTTGGTAGCCACCCAGAGCTGCTTGGCCTGTCTAGTTTATCTCTTACGATGCCAAATTTAACACAGGTACACGTTAATATTTAACAAACAAAGGTAATTACTATCACTAATTCATTTAATTAAAAATGTCCCAGGCACTGAGCTGATGTTTTACATGGATTATTAGTATTTCACTTAGGCGGGTATTACTACAATTTTCATTTTGTAAATTAAGAAACAGGTTAAACCAGGCGCAGTAGCGAACGCCTGTAATCCCAGTGGCTGGGAGGCTGAGGCAGGAGGATAGTGAGTTCAAAGCCAATTTCAGCAATGGCGAGGGGCTAAGCAACTCAGTGAAACCCTGCCTCTAAATAAAATACAAAATAGGGCTGGAGATGTGGCTCAGTGGTCGAGTGCCCTTGAGTTCAATCCCTGGTTACCGCCCTCCGCCCCCCCCCAAAAAAAAAGGAAAAATAGAAAAGAAAAAAAAGGAAACAGGTTAAGATAAATTGACTTCCTAATGTCACAAGGCTGTGAGCTTTTCTTTTTCTTTTTTTCCCACTTCCCGAGATGTAATGGAGCAACACAGAAGGCAAACGCCGGAAAGCAGGCGGCGTACCATCTTGAGTGGGGTCGCGGGAGGACAGGCCTGTGATAAACTCCGCGCGGTTAGTAGCTTTCACACTGGATTGCTAGCCGGCTCTGTTTCCTCCAAGCACAGACCGGAAGTGTTTCTGTCGGCTGTGTTTCAAACGTGCACAACCGGAAGTTTCTGCCCGAGGCTTTGCGGTGTTAGGGGAGCGGCGCAGGGAAACGCAGCTGGCACATCCAGGTGTGGAGGAGCAGGGTGAGGAACAAGGAGGTGAATGAGGCTGTTACGGACACCCAAGCAACGGGACATACGCAGAACCCCGACCTGACTGGGACCGCTTTCCTTGCCGCCCTCCTCTTCACCCCGCCCCCACTCGGGTCAGGAGTGGACCCGCCCCCTGGCCCGAACGTGGTCTTTCAGGCACTGACCCTTGACGTACGGGGTGCTCCCCCAATCTCTCAGGCGTGATGGCTACGGGCGCGGATGTACGGGATATTCTAGAACTCGGGGGTCCAGAGGGTGATGCAGCCTCCGGGACCATCAGCAAGAAAGACATTATCAACCCGGACAAGGTAACAGGTGTATCAGAAAGCAAGGGGGTAATGAGGAGTGAGGGGGTGACGACGGGAGAGGTGGTGGAGTGGTACACTTCTAGTGAGATGCACGATAGAAAGGTGTGACTTTATGGTACAGAGAAGGTATCATCCTCCGTAAGATGGATGATGGAGAGGTGGGACACTGTGGGAGTGGAGAGGACCGAGAGAGTGGGGCACCTCCAAGAGATGAGAGGACAAAAGAGAGAAAATTATTGGGGGTGGAGACCAAGATGTTGTGTTATTAGTCTGAGAGATGGGGAGAGGATCTTCAATTTTCACATATCAAAGGAGGAAAGGGGAATGATCTGCTCAGACTGGGTATACTCCAGAAAGTGGATTTCTGGGCCTTTAAAGTGTGTCATCATAATGTTAGTATATATGTAACTGTTCTTGTGATGGTATGTTCAGGAATTGTGCTGAGCTAAAGAATTTTAGGGAAAGGAGGTCTAGGTTGTGGTTCCTTCCTTGTTTTCTTCTTCAGAAAAAGTCCAAGAAGTCCTCTGAGACACTAACCTTCAAGAGGCCTGAGGGCATGCACCGGGAAGTTTATGCCCTGCTCTACTCTGATAAGAAGCAAGTATTTGGAATCCCAAATTCCCATTCTCTGGCCCCTGATCTAACCACCATGTCCCTGACTCCTGGTTTTTTTCTTCCAGTTCTCTCCTTACCTTCCCTCTTCATCCAGGGCTCCTGCTTGCTGAGCAGGAATGAGAGGACCTCAGATGTCTTGCTCTAGGACATTCCTTGCTCAAGGGTAAATCAGCTCCTAGAGCCCTTCTGATTCTAACCTTACACCTCCCTAAATCCTACTGCCAGGGATGCACCCCCACTGTTACCCAGTGACACTGGTCAGGGCTACCGCACAGTGAAAGCCAAGTTGGGCTCCAAGAAGGTGCGACCCTGGAAGTGGATGCCATTCACTAACCCAGCCCGAAAGGATGGAGCTATGTTTTTCCACTGGCGACGGGCAGCAGAGGAAGGCAAGGACTACCCTTTCGCCAGGTTCAATAAGGTGAGCTACACCATTTGGACATAGGCCGATGCTGCCCACCTACTCTGAGCCATATGTATGAGCTCTCTTGTCTCCTAGGGTTGGCTCTAGATGTATGCTTGGGTCCAGCCATGGTTACCCACTCAGTCCTCATGTCAAATAAATGCTAAATGGGATTCTATAGGTCTTTTCTGCCCATGAGATCCTATCCTTCCCTGAAACAACTTTGGTTCTTGGTGACTTCTCTTAGCCTTTCAAATCCTTCTGTTTCTCAGAGCTGTAGCCTACATGTTTTTTTACTCTGTGTTTTCTTTCTAGTGTGTCTATAGATGTCACTTACTTATGGATCTTTCAGAATGCCCCATAGGTACATCATATCAAATTGGTACCCCTGAGCAAAACTCATTCCATTTTCTGCCCCCAAATCCGTTCCCCATCTCACTGAATGGCACTAGTATCCACCCACTTGGGAATCATACTTGACAGCCTTCTCCCTTAGGTCTCAACAGCAGGACAAAGAGATAGCAGGAGAAGGCAGTTAACAATCATCTAAGGAAATAAAATAAGTTTGATTCTTTTAGAATCCATCTTATTTTATATCACATCAATAAAATGAAACCAGGATATAAATGAATATGAAATGAGATGAAGAATGAACATCTAGGTGTAGGGGAGGCCTACTTTTAGATAGGGTGGTCATGGAGGGCCTCTCTGAGAAGGTGACATTTGAACTAGACTGTTGTGATACATCATCGAGTCCTGCTGAGTGTTTCCACAGTAAATCATATTTCTGCCTATATTCTCCATCCTCTCTGCCAGCACTCTAATCCAAATTGAATTATCTCTGGTTTGAATAATTAAGATTCAGCCAGAGCAGGACCTTACCCAGACTTACCCAGCCAGTAAGAGGTAGAGCTAGACTAGATTGGAATTCCTGTCCAAGACTTAGCCACTGTACAATGAGGCATCACAGGTGTTCTTGCTTGGAACACCCTTTCCTCTCAGTCCAGTATATTCAACTGTACTTGGACACCTTTCCCTGGATGGCTCACAGATTTCTCAGACTGAGCATGGCCACATGTGAATCCATCACTCCCCACATCCCAAACCATGTTTTCCTCCATTTCATCATCATCCCTAAGCCAGTGAAGGAGAGACAGGAGATATAAGGCTGGGGAGGAACAGCCATAAGGCAAGGCCTCTGACAGAGTGGGAGGGAGGTGGGATGAGACAGGTTGAGGTGAAGACAAAATAATGTTCACTTTGTATTTAGTAACTACTGCACCATGCAAAGTTGAGGTCTAACAATTGAGGGCACAAAAATGCAGTGGCATAAGCCCATAATCTCCGGGAGGCTGCGACAGGAGAATCAAGAGTTTAAGGCCAGCCTCAGCAATGGTAAGGCACTAAATCAACTCAGTGAGACCCTGTCTCTAAATAAAATACAAAATAGGGCTGGGGATGTGGCTCAGTGGTCAAGAGCTCCTGAGTTCAATCCCTAGTACCAAACAAACAAAAAAAACCCCTCATATTGTTAGGATGGTGGGGGTAGGGGTAGAGGCAATCACAATCTGGTGGGATACATGCAATATTGGGAGGGCCTGATGATCATGGAAGTTTTCTGGAGTTGTTAAAGAGTCTGAGTTTTCATGAAGGATGTCACCAGGTGGTATTAGGAAAGGCATTCAATAATTTTTGGGGGCAAAGGGAATAGCATGAGCAAAACCATAAAAGATTAATTAAAAAAAATTGTCGATGGTCTTTATTTTATTGATTTGTTTATATGCAGTGTTGAGAATTGAACCCAGTGCCTCACACATGGTCAAGCACTCTACCACTGAGCCACAACCCCAGCCCCATAAAATGATAATTTTAAAGGGTCATGTGTATGGGATACTGTGGGCATTTCCATGCTGATGAATCCTAAAACCCAAGGTGGGCATTTTGGGAGATGCCAAAAACCCAAGGTGGGGCATGGTGGGAGATGCCACCCAAGCAGTGAATAGCATCCAGGTCAGGTAAGGCCTTGGCATCCAGGCTCAAGAATTTGGTTTTACTCTGGTGTCATTGGGTAAACATGGACAGATTTTAAGCAGAACAGTGTCAAGATCAGATTTGAGTTTTGGGTGACTACAGGGCCAGAGAATGAAGCCAGAGTTAAATGAATTAATGATCTTCTCCAGTAATCCTTCTTACCATGGATCCCATCTCACTCAGTGGCTCCCTATCTACTCCCTTGCTTAGGCCAGAAACCTAGGTGGCATCTCCCTGGCCATACACGCTCAAGCCCTGTGGTTTCTATCTCCTGAAGCCTCTTGATCTGTGCCCTTCTCACTGCTTTCCTGAAGCAGCTCAGGCCTTTCTACCTCCCACCTGCATTACAGCTGGTCCCTAGACTCTTGTTTATCCTCTCTGTCCTCACTGCTGCTTGGATGATCTTTGATAGAAGAACTGTGACCTTTTGTTTTCCTTAAAACTAACTCTGCTGGTTCCTATCACCTTCAGGACAATTTTAGACTCTGTAGCAGGGCTTGTAGCTGGCTTCTGCTAATTTGCCAGGCTCTTTTTGCATCTCTCCATTTCAGCATTTGTTTCCAAACATGTTCTCTCTGACAGGCCCATGCACATTATGCTGTTTTTCTCTGTATTGCCTACTCTACTTAGGATTCTTTTCCCATTTCCCCTTACTAGTTCACTTCTTTTTAACTTTTTTTTCGGGGGGTGGTACTAATGATTGAGCCCAGCAGCACTCAGCCGTTGAGCTACATCTTCATCCTTTTTTTTTTTTTTTTTAGATAAATATCCCAGCCGTGTGTGTGTGTGTGTGTGTGTGTGTGTGTGTGTGTGTATTTATTTACATTTTTTTATTTTTATGTGGTGCTGAGAATTGAACCCAGGGCCTCACATCTGCAAGGCAAGAGCTCTACCACTGAGCTATAGCCCCAGCCCAATCCCCAGCCCTTTTTATTTTTTATTTTAAGACAAGGTTTCACTAAGATGCCAAGGCTATCCTCAAACTGGTGATCCTCCTACCTTAGCCTCCCAAGTCATTGGGATTATAGGCATGTGCCACTAAGCTCAGCTCTAATTAACATCTTTTTTTTTTTTCTTACAGTACTGGGGATTATACCCAGGGGAACAACCACTGAACCACATTCTCAGTACCCCCAACCTTTTTAAAAAATTTCAAGGCAGGGTCTTGCTAAGTTGCCCAAGCTGACCTTGCATTTGCAGTCCTCCTGCCTCAGCCTCCTTAATTGCTGATATGACCAGGTGTGCACCATTATTCCTGGCACAATTTTACTTAACCTTAAACGAGCCCTAATTTATCTCTTCTCTGTCCAACTCTTGTCCCCATGCTGGACCCGGTGTCCCTTATTAGCACAGTAGGCATTCCTTTGTCATCAGATTCACCACTACTAAAATAATAATTTTTTTTTCAGCTGAACTCTGAGCTCTGAGAGGTGAAGACCACTTCACCTCGTATTCTTATTTAGCACTATGTTTCTGACATAGGTGAGATAGGCCCATGATATTTGTTGAATGAATAGATAAATGGTATACCTTACTTGACTGTGAGTGCCTCAAGAACAGGATTGGCTATGCTGTTACTATGTTTTTAGACTTTTTAAATCAAATGCACAGAAGGGATACCTAACCAAGCCTGGGAAACCAGAGAGACTCCAGAGAAGATAATGCCTGAAGGAGATTAAAAGGATGAAAATGTTACAGGCAGAAGAAATGTGGAAGTGAAAAGGCATAGCAGCCAATAACAAAGGCAGAGGGGAAGGATCTGCTGTGTTCCAGAAACTGCTGGTCATTTGGCTGGAAGTTAGGGTCTGTGAAGGACAGATCATTCACTCATGTGTTCATTGATTGATTCAGTAGATATTCACTGGTACCTAATGGTGGAAATTAAATAATCCTTGCTCTTGAGGGTTTTGTAAATTATCTAGAAGACACTTTATTTTTTACTATAAGCACCTCAGTTTTGCTGAGGCTAGTTTTGGACTTGTAATCCTCCTGCCTCAGTCTCCCAAGCTCTTGGGATTATAGGCGTGTTGCCACTGTGCCTAGCCCTTTTTTTATCTTTATTTTTTGGTACCAGAGATTTATCCAGGGGTACTTAACTACTGAGCCACATCCTCAACCCTTTTTTATTTTTTTGAGGTGGGGAGTACTAGGGATTGAACTCAGGAGCAGTCAACCACTGAGCCACATCCCCAGTCCTGTTTTGTGTTTTATTTAGAGACAGGGTCTCACTGAGTTGCTCAGCACTTCACTTTTGTTGAGGCTGACTTTGAACTTGTGATCTCCCAGCCTCAGTCTTCTGAGCTGCTGGGATTATAGGCATGTGCCACTACATCCAGCCCTTTTTTGTTTTTGAGACAGGGTTTCACTGAGATGCTTAGGACCTTGCTAAGTTGCTGAGGCTGGCTTTGAACTTGTGATCCTCCTGCCTCAGCCTCCCCAGCCACTGGGATTACAGGCATGTGCCACTGTGCTCAGCTGAAGGCACTTTATTTTGAAGGTGGGAGGCTTAGTGGGTAATGTGGTAAGATCCATTGTTCTAGAACCATGCATCTCAAATTATCTGTGGTGAAGGACATATTTCTGTTTTATTTTCAATCCATCAAAGACTGATAAAGATAACAAAATAATAAAAAAAGATAATACAAGTTTCTTCATATTAAATTAACCAGCACAGTTAGGTTTCCGTGTTTCTGCTCAGTTGCTGTTTTCACTGTAGACTAGAGAGGACTATACTGCCCTTTCAGTAGCACTGTTCACAAAAGTCAATTTTGACTGCAGAGGGAGAGTTGATTGGCAGAGGTTTGAACGGAGATAAAGAAAGACCAATGGAAAGCTATTTTTCTGAGCCAGGCAAGTGATGGTGCTGGCTGTCCCAGGATGTGGCAGTGGAGATAGAGAGGGATTTTGGAGGCAAAGCCACAGATTTATTAAGAGGTAGAAATTTAAAGATGCTGGCCAGGTTTCTGGCTTGGGCAACTGGATTGGATGAGGGTGACACTAACTTAGGCCTGGATTAGTGATGTCAGTTTGAGAGAGGGTGATGAGTTAGTACTGAGCATATTAAGTTGAATCCAGAGGAACAGCATGAGACCTCCAATAGGAAGTGTCCCAGAGGCAGTTGGAGACAACTGTGGTGTTAATTAAGCAAAAGAAAAACTTCCCCAGTCCAGTCTAGCATTGAGTCAGTCCTTGGGTTTCTGAGAAACTCAGCTTGTGCTGGTACTATTTGTCTCTAGAGGAGACATGAGGAGTGGGGTGTGGGATAGTGGACCAAGGGGCAGTGGCAGAGTTGTATATTTTGGGACTAGGTTCAGGCCCTGTCTGTAGATGCTTGACTTTGGAGAACTCAGGGGAGCGGCAGTTCCCACTATCACCACTTGGTGGCAATAGTGCTTCAGACAAAGTTGCATGGCCATTTCTTAGTCTGATGGGTATATTTAGCCATCTGCCTGGCTCCAGAGTTGACCTTTGGACTCCATAGAAGTGCTTACAAGTGGTCCCCTCACCTTTACTATGGGGGCAGGAGCAGTATCCTGTTACCAGGCTCTGAAGCTGAAGACGGTGAAGTTGCTTTTGGAGTATATCAACAGGCCACAGCCCAGAGGTTGCTATGGTTCTAGTCAAGCAGATAGGTGCTTTCCTCACTCTAGGCTGGCCTCTGCCAGGTGCACAGATAGAGGATTTGCCCTTGTCCCCCTCAGAGACTATCAGTAAACAGGAAGGGCTCTGATGAGGGGCTGGAGCCTGTTGGATACGACCTGATGTGGGTATTCTTCCACTGTCCCTCTGTGTCAGTAGACTGTGCAGGTGCCAGTGTATTCAGAGCAGGAGTACCAGCTCTATCTCCATGATGATGCTTGGACTAAGGCAGAAACTGACCACCTCTTTGACCTAAGCCGCCGTTTTGACCTGCGTTTTGTAGTTATCCACGACCGGTATGACCACCAGCAGTTCAAGGTGAGTTCGTATATGCATGTGCTTGTGTGCCCACCCCTGGGCCTACCCTTCCTTCATGCTCAGTTATCCCCCTGTGTATCTTGGTTTTCAGAAGCGTTCTGTGGAGGACCTGAAGGAGCGGTACTACCACATCTGTGCTAAGCTTGCCAATGTACGGGCTGTGCCAGGCACAGACCTCAAGATACCAGTATTTGATGCTGGGCATGAACGACGGCGGAAGGAGCAGCTGGAGCGTCTCTACAACCGGACCCCAGAGCAGGTCAGCTGTGAGCCCCACTGCCTTTCCTCTAAGCCCTACACCCTTTGCTCATTGCCTCCATCCTGTAAACTCTTACCACCCTGACCCCCAGTTTTCCACCTCCAGCCCATTCCTGCTGCTTCCTGGACATCCCCCTGCTCTCCTTCACTTCCATCTAGTCCCTTCCCTCTGAGATAATCCGGCACCCTTCGCCTCCCTGTCCACTCATTCTCCAGATTGCCCTCACATGCTTTTCAGCATCTCTCCTCCCTTTTCTAGGTGGCAGAGGAGGAGTATCTGCTACAGGAGCTGCGCAAGATTGAGGCCCGGAAGAAGGAACGGGAGAAACGCAGCCAAGACCTACAGAAGCTGATCACAGCAGCTGACACCACTGCAGAACAGCGGCGCACTGAACGCAAGGCCCCCAAGAAGAAGCTACCCCAGAAAAAGGAGGCCGAGAAGCCGGTGTGGAGCCTGAACCAGCCCAGCTTGGGGTGGAGGGGTCCTGCGCCAAGTGGCCCCACTCAAGTGGGGAGCTCTGAGAGCACACAGAGCTGGCGGGGTGCTGGGACTGACTCTGGGCTCATTCCCCCTGTGACACCTTGGTCTTCATAACTCCTTCCCCAGGCTGTTCCTGAGACTGCAGGGATCAAGTTTCCAGACTTCAAGTCTGCAGGGGTCACACTGCGAAGCCAGAGGGTATGTGAGTTATCTCCTTTAGTTTGTCTGGGCTCTGGATTCCTGTTGGCCTGAATGCTGCAGCCAGTAAGAAGGGTGGCTGTAGAGAGAGATGGCCTCATCAGGATCACAGAGGGATGTAGGCAGTCTAAGGTCAGAGCTTTCACTATATTCCACTTCTTGGCTATTTCCTTCTCTGGCCCATAGCTACCTCCAGGAGGCACATTTCTCCCAACCCCACTATCTTTGGGTCCTTTCAACCCCTAAACCTCTTGTTGGGCAGAGGGCTTAGCTGCCTGGTTCATTGCAGATGAAGCTGCCCAGCTCTGTGGGTCAGAAGAAGATCAAGGCCCTGGAACAGATGTTGCTGGAGCTTGGTGTGGGTGAGTGTGGTACTGAGCCCCACAGGACCTACCCACTGGGGGCTATGGATGAAGGCTGGACAGGGGGGGATGAGCAGTTTGTTACAGGCCTTTAGCTACAGTCTGGCTCTGCTTTGCCTGCAGAGCTGAGCCCCACCCCCACGGAGGAGCTGGTACATATGTTCAATGAGCTGCGCAGTGACCTAGTGTTGCTCTATGAGCTCAAGCAGGCCTGCGCCAACTGCGAGTATGAGCTACAGATGCTGCGGCACCGGCATGAGGCACTGGCCCGGGCAGGCGTGCTGGGGGGCCCCACCACACCAGCAGTGGGGCCAGTCCCAGCCTCTGCTGAGTCAGCAGTGTCTGAACCTGGACTTGGCCCTGACCCCACTAAGGACACCATCATTGATGTGGTCGGTGCACCTCTCACACCCAATTCGGTAAGAGCCTGGATGGGCTGGGGGAATATGCCCTGACCCTATTCCCTCTAGCGCCTGCAGGGGGACTATTGCCTCTTTGAGGGTCTGTGGCAGAGGGCAGGAGTGGGTTGACCAGTGGGCATTATCTTCCCTGAGAGTGAAACACACACCAGGCCTTGGGGACGACTGACCTCAGCACCTCCTGTGTCTCCTCAGAGGAAGCGACGGGAATCGGCCTCCAGCTCATCTTCTGTGAAGAAAGCCAAGAAGCCGTGAGAGGCCACCCGGAATGTGGGTGGTACTGTGGTGTAAATAGAGCTGCTAACTTAGACTGGGCTGCCTCTGCCTCCTTTCCTGCATTTCTGATGCCCCTGGCTGGGAGGGTTAGCCAGGCAGGGGCTCAGCACTGCTATTCCCAAAGTTAGTAGTGTTTGCCTGTGCTCAGATCTTTGGTGGCTTCCTTGGCCTCTAACCCCTGACAACTGCCCCATACCCCTGCACCTTGAATACCTGTGGTCTTACACTCAAGATGACATCACACAGCAGTGGCTTCAAATACCAGCAGCTTTGAACACAGCCTTATGCTCGGACAGTCTTCACACCCCAAGGCCTGTTTATCTTCAGTGAGGGTATTACAGGTGCTGCAGTGACTGCTGGCTGTATACCAGTGGCCTTGTGTAGAGGCAGCCCAGAGAATGCTCCAACTGGTTCCCATCCTGACAGCACTAGCATAGCTGTAGCCTTACAAAGATGGCTGCACACACACCCAACGCCTTGTTTCCCCGACTTTATTCAGTGGCACGTTCACAGCGGGGATGGGGGTAGACACAAGGTGGGGCCTGATCTGTCCTGGAGCCCTGGGGGCACCACACACCATGCACTATGGATGGGAAGGGGGACAGGGAAGCTTGGTGGCCCCAGCAGTAGCCTGTGTGCCAGGGAGGAGGCGGCAGCGAGTGCCTGGGTCCCCCAGCCCAGGCCCACAATGGGAAGGGCTAATACTGGGCTGAGACTGAGGGGTGGGGGTGGGGGTGGGCACAAAGTGTCTGCTCCAGAGAGGCCAAGAGGCCAAGCGCTTACCCAGGGCACAAGCCTACAGGGCAGCTGGGGGACACTCTGGGCGCAGGACTGTGCCACTCTCCCTTTTCCCCTCTGGTGAGGGAGAGGATGATTCTGGGCTGGGCCAAGCAGCTACCCTGTCCTGCCCCATCCCGTCCTCGGCCAATCAGAACGGCTTCGACGTCTGCTTGAAGATGAAGCCTCGATATGCGAGTGTCTTCATGATATTGGCGATGTTCTTGCAGTCATCTGTAGGGAGGAACAGAAAGCATTTAAGTGGGCCCTACATCCTTCCTCTCCATGCCCACAGATGTATGCGCAGGGTGGGAATGAGAAGCAGGGTTAAGTTCAAGAGCCATGGGCTCTAGAGAGGGGGGTCCCTGGCCTTGGTGGCAGCATCTCTGGCTTCAGGTTAGACTGGATGACACTGGGCCAGCAGGAAGCCTGGTCTTAAGGCTTTTCGGCCCCATAATTCATGCTGGAAATTGGCCGGCATGTCCTGTCCCGGCCCCGGCGGTGATGTATGGGCGCCGTCGCAGTAAGAAAAAGGCAGAGTAAATGTGTAATTTCTCCCTTGACGGCCCCCGGCCGCTGGGCGATCCTTCTTGTTGCCGCCGCGTGGGGACGGCCCGTCCGCCACACTCCGTCTTCCCGCCACCCGCCTTGATGTCTCCATTTCATTACTGTGTGGCCATTCATCACGCCCATGGCCAGGGTGACTTTGCCGGCACTTGCATATGTGGGAGACGTGGCCCAGGCCATAATCACTGGTGACAAGACACAAGGCTCAGCACTCCTGGGCCGGGGCCCTGGGAGTCACACCTGCTCTGGATATCTGTCTCTGTGTGGTCTTGGATAGGCTAGGGAGAGCCCAGATTTATGGCCTCTTTCAGTACTGGCCATCTGCTAGACACATGAACGTCAGCCCATTGCCTCGCCTGTCCTACTAGGATCAAAGCCGGGTGCTGGTCACTTTCTTGGGCCCTGCCTCTGCCCACACCCCAGATTAAATGTCTGCTTGTGCCAGACCCTATCACAATTTCTCCACTATGGGTCTCTTGTGTAATACTTGATGCTCTGGACAGCCTGGAGGTCATATGCAGGAATGCTGGGCCTTGGGATCATGGACATAGGCCAGGACTTACTCCACGACCACCAGCAGGAGGGGCAGCTGCCCAGAGCAGTCACCAGCTGCTATGCTCTCACCTGCCTCTCCTCTCACTCCTTTCCTATCTCCCATGCTCCTGGGCCATGACCAGGGCCTCAGCCGCCACCAGCCCTCAGGGGATCGATGCTGTGATTGCAAAAATATTGTACATTGATGTCATCATCAAGTATGGGGGGGTGGTAAGGTCAAGGTAGGGTCAGGAAGCCTCTGCATTTGTCAAGGACTGTCCCCTTCCACTGGTCTCCAGACTGTTCCTTGCTGGAACCTCAACCTAGGAAAGGCAACCCTCTGCCTTAGAGCTAGGAAAAGGCTGTGGGTTGGAGAAGAGTATCTGGTCAGCCCAGGGCCTATCACTAGCCAGTCACCAGTTCAGCAGATCCTGCTTGGGGCAGGCAAATCACAGTCCTGTCTTGCAGAGGTCAACATGCATGTACCTGTGGTAGATACAGGTGTAGAGATGTGATACCTTGTTCCCCAGGGGCTCAGGCAGCCATGAGGGCTGGTCTAAGGCAGAATGGTGGGAAGACAGATGGGTGGGTAGTGGCGGCCATGGCAACTCCAGACGTGACCCATCCCCGTGGTTTATGGGCCGGACACGCACTCGGCTCAGCTGAGGCCCTGTCATTTGTCTCCCTTAGTGTGTATGCCTGGGCTGTTGGGTGTACAGGGTGGAGGAGGGAGGGAGCTGTGACAGGAGGAGCAGGCAGTTGACAGGGGAATAAGACAAGAAGGGGCTTGGGAGGAGGAGGGGTTACGATGGGGTCTAGGGTCTGTGATGGCACTGTTGGAAGGGTTGATAGGGTGATTTTCTTCCCAAATAAGCCTTGCTGTCGGGCACCTCCAATCCTTCCTGTCTCTTGCACTCTGGGGACTGTGGCTGCTGTGCATATTAAGAATAAGTCCCCTCGTTATCTGCAATTACCCAGCGGCCACACACCTCATTTCTTCCAGCAGAAAAGAAAATTAGTTTTCTATTGACTTCATCTAGCTCCTCCCTCATCACTGGACAAATCGCTCAATCTGCCTCCCTTGGCCCAAGTGACTGTCCCGGCCCAGACCCCCAGGCCACCAGTCATCCAGTGGGCAAGCACTGATCTCCTACCTGTGTGGGAAAGGGTCTCATGCCTCAGTCTCTGCCCTTGACCTGTCCCATGCTGCACAATGGATGACTTCACCCAAATCCTAGGCTTAGGCTGCCCTGAAGGTAACCCTCACCAGCCTCACTTCCCCCTGAGTTCCACACCATAAATTCCAATGTCTTTTGAACATTTCTTTCTAAATAAAGGCACAAAATGCTCCCATAATGAACATGTTTTCTCCCAAGCTTCTGCTTGCCTTGTGTTCTCCACACCAGAGAAGGGCATCATAATTCATTCAAATACCCAAAGAAACCTGAGGCAGGCTTCACACTCTGCCCTCTCCATGCTCCCCAAATCTAGTCAAGTAAGAACCTCTGAAGATGTGATCCCCTTATTCTCTAATCACCTAATTCCCATGAGCAGCAGCCACCCCTGAGTCCAGACCTCATCACCTTTCGCTTGAATTACTACTACAGCCTGTTCTGTCTCCTCCCTGTAATTCATCCCGTTGTAGCCAAAGCAATCTTTCTTCCACAAATCTGGCCAGGTCCTTCCTTCTTTAAATCCCTTTGGTGGCTCTCCCTGCCCTCTGTTCAAATGTGACTGTTCTTTAATGTGACTCAAAGCTTCAGCAAAACCTGATCCCTGTTAGACCTCTGTCACCCTTGACTCCTGATCCCTGTACTCCAATCTCAAGGAACCACTTACTATTTGCTGAAAATGACAAAGTGCACTGTGGAATTAGACAAAGCTGTTCCAGTTTTAATTTCTCCCACCAGTTGCATGACATGTGGCAAGAGCTTCATTCATTTCTCTAAACTCCAATGGCCTTAGCATCACTGTGAGCAAGGAACAGGTGCTCCATCCTGCATTTTTGTATAAGCCACTGTTTACACTCAGCCTTGTCTCTTCCTGGATGATGCTAGCTTTCTGGATGACCCAGTATGAGAAAGTGTATGCTGTACAATCCGTGGCATAGATGGAAAACTGGGTTGGTACATTGATGAAATCAATTGTCACATGCCACGGGCTGACTGACTACTTATTCTGTTTACAGGGGATTCTGGATTCTAATGTGTTGCAACTTGTTCACTATGATATAGGCCCAGAAAGAGGAAGGAGCTTGCACCAATTCACTTCTCAAATTAGTGGAATGGCAGTTACAGGCTTCAGCCCAGGGCTCTTCTTTACTAGGAGTGTAATAAGAGTCAATGCAAACTACTTGTCGGTTAAAAAAATAGAAGTCAACTGGCACAATTGGAAGATAACATGGCAGAAGACGTACCAGACATAGATCTGGGGCTTTTAATAGGCTAAAAGTGCAGAGAGAAACAGCAGCAGTGCCAGCTAGCGACAGCATCACCTCCTGGAGTTCTTCCTCTGCTTGACGCTCCTGGGCCATGTGGACAGCCTTGTGCCTTCTAGCACCTCTCACTTAGCTAATGAGGCCCACCTGATGCTGCTGTGGCATGGGATGGTGGGGGCACAGCCTTGTGCCCACAATGGAGACTATAATAGAGTAGGTCTTCTCTGCATCTTCACATTCTAGAAGACTAGCCTGTTTATGTCCCTGCAGGGTCATCAATTTGAGATACGATGACTTTTTCTTTCTGGGAATGCATGCACACTCACACTGGGGAATGAACTCAGGTGCTTTACTATTGAGCTATATCCCCAATCTTTTTTTAGGTTTTGAAACAGGGTCTTGCTAAGTTGCCCAGGCTGGCCTTAAACTTGTGATCCTCCTGTCTCAGATTCCTGACTTCCTGGGATTACAGGTGTGGGCTATCACACCCAGCTAAGACATAAAATATTCTTAATGTTAAAAGTATTCTTATATTGCCAAGACCATTTATCACTGCACAAATCCCTCAGAGAGGAGATGAAGAGGGCTAGAATCTAACAAAGGATAAGCTTGTTGGCTAGGCCCCAAGAATAGTCAAATATCTGCTTGGCAAAGGAGCTGATATAGTGGAAGGGTGGCTCAGACCACTTAGAACACCCAGTGGGAGTTCACATAGAGCTAACAACCTGAGGCTGGCATGCTCTAGTTGGCTGCACTTGCCTAGGAACTGAAGAGCACAAGAAGCAGCCTGGGCCAGGAAGACCCTCAGGAGGAAAGGGTTTTGAGAAACTCTTGGGGAGCCATCCATTCACATACTGAATTCATTCAGCAAACATGCACTGACATGTGTACCCAGCACAGGTGGGCTGTGTGGTCTGAGGGATGTGCAAGATTCTGCAGCTCTCTGTCCTCCTGAAGCTCAGAGACAGGCTTTCAGGTGTTGCAAGAAAAGGAGAAAAGTCATCTCGAAAAACTAGATGACATAGAAAAGTCATCTAGTTCTCCTTGATCCTCAGAAATGGATTCCTGGAAGAACAAAGCTAAGAAGAGGTCTTAGGGGATGTGGGAGGAGCTACCTGGGCAAGTTGGGGTTAATGTGAGAAAGGTATTCTCAGCATAATGCACAGTACAGGCACATTTCTGGAGGTGAAATATCGGGTGTCCAAAAAATTAGGTTTAGAAAGTGGATGGGTGGATGAGAGTAACATTGTTGTTGTAGCAGCAGCAAGGAAGTGACAAGATATGAAGCTGGTGAAATCAGCAGCAACTGACTAGAGTAGAAACCCTGAGGAACCCAAATGCTCAGCTAAGGAACGCAAGGTTTTAATATTCTGGCAAGACTGCAGAGACATTTTAAGGAGGGGAATGACAGGACCAGATCTGTGTTTCAGAATTATTATCTCAGGATGTGAAGATGGGATTGGAGGGGCTAATCCTGAAGGTAGAGAGATCACTTGGCAGACTATACTTTGGCCCAGGCCAGAAAGGTTGACTCAGAATGAGGCCAGTGGCAGTGGAGATGGAGGTGGAGATATACTTACAGAGTGGAGTGTGGATGGAGGCAAAAGAGTTTTTGGGAAAGAGAAATAAGTAAGCCTTAATGAGGGGATTTGGTGAGCTGGGAGAGGAATGAGTTCAAGATTTTAGTGCTACTCTA